GCCCCGCCCCCGGGCACCCGGCGCGAGTGTGGCCCCGCCCCCGGGCGCTCGGCGCGTGAGTGGCCCCGCCCCCGGGCGCCCGGGAGCCCGTAAAGGTTGGGGACCACTGGCCTAGTTTTTACCACAGATGCCATCACAAAAGCCAAAACAAGGAGCTAGGGGGATGTTGCTATACTTCAAAGGAGAAAGCCATGTGGAGCCTGGGGTCAGCTGGGGACTGATCCTGGGTTCCACACAGCTCTGATGTTTTGAAACGCTATGTGCAGCCTGACTGTGGGCTCTCAGCAGCATTTCAAAGTGGCAGTGCTGCACAGAGCCTGGGGTCAGTAAGGGAGTCCCAGCTGATCTGGGCTCCACACATGGAGCCTGTGGTCAGCGGGGGGAGTCCAGAACTGATCCCGGGCTCCATGTGGTGCTGCTGCCTTGAAACACCGCGTGCAGCCTGGGGACACCCCAGATGGCCTTGGGCTGCACACATCATTTAAAGGTGGCAGGGCCGTGTGGAGTCCACGGTCTGGCCCCAGGCTCCAAGCGGTGCTGCCGGTTTGAAGTACCCCCTCCTAGCTTCCTCTTTCTGATAAGCTTATAGGACAGTCAACTAGTCCTTCATATTTCTAATACAAATCCATCATTCTACATCACTGTTCAGACATGCTTTGATATTCATGGCAGTTTTGAAAAATAAGTTCTAGGTTTTAAACACAGAAGCTCAAAAGCAAGTCTCTTCACTTTAAAACCTATTCCAAGATCTTATCCAGATAATCCCAGTCAATCAATGAAGGATCACGGGTCATAACATGAGGCCTTTGGGGGGGGGGGGGAGAACGACTCATGAGGTAAGATCAAGAGAATTTTGATTCAACCAACTTTTACTGGAGATAGAAAGAAGATCCCTGGATAAACACATGGTTAAATTCTAGTTGTATTTATTTAACTAACTGTAGTACAATTCAGATTTTGAAATCCCTTCATACTGATGTGCCTGATTTGCTTTATATTAAAGCTACATAAAACTTGGATGTTTAATTCTTTTCAACAAGGGATTGTTATAAATTTAAGACAAATTGTTTTAAAAAAATGTGAAGATATCAATATCATGTGAAGTTTTACAGATAGGGAATTATGGGACTATTTCAATAGACATCCGTTAACATGAATTTTTAAAAGGGGTCCTAGTTTTACTTAAAATAAAAGCATTGGTAAAAATTACAAGTGAGGTGTCAAAAATAGTTTTGAAGATTTTAAATAGCACTTAGTTTCACTTTCTGGTTTCCACGCATGAGAACAAAGGGAACAGCAACTGTTTTGTCTGAACTCTGATTCTTTTATTCTAGCTGGGCACAGCTGAGACACTGTTTTTTTCCATTAGAATCACTCAGCTACCAAGATATTTGTGAGCCACCACGACACTATTCTCATTTTTAAGGTATTAATGCACATTGATGACAATAGCACCTAGTTTCTCAAAATAAAAGCTGAAACCTTTAGAACTCCACCCTATCTTAAAAGTGGCTCAGGGAAAAAGAAGTTGGGCATTTGCCCCTTTCTGATGGATGAATGCAGACTGAACGTTTAGTACATTTTTCTGCTTGCTTTACTACATTAAAGTCAGGTCTGGTCTGACCGGTAAAGACTCTCAGGAAAAATCTGAGAGGTTACAATATCAGACTAAAAATCCTCTGTTTAACTGTAGTCAGATGTAACCTCCCCTCCCCCTTAATCACTTAACTGCAGTGCCTAATGAACATTCAGAAGAGAGACTGTCTTTGCTGAAGAGCGAACACTGCCACCCTTTCAGTGAAAGAGCAAAATATCACACCCATTCCTGATATCAACTCCCTCTCAGAGGTTCTCCATCAAAGCCAGTGAAGATCAGATGTTCCTGAAGTGAGAAAAACTTTCAGAGCACACATTTCAAATACACAAAACATTTCTACAACTGCTTTCCAGCAGATAAAATGCAAGACCCTGACTACCTATTAGATCTCCCAAGATACTTATGCCTGCAAGATCACCATCAATGACCAGGACACTTTGGTTATGGGCATTAATGTTAGACTTACATTTCTTCTGCAATTTCCATCAAAAAGTTTCACTTCCCCACTTCAAGTGTTTAGTGTTATTGGCACATAAAAGCTGCTGCATTTAATTCACTGAGGAGTACATAAAATACAAGTCAAGTATTCTGTGCACAAACACCACTGACTGGTGAGATTCCCATCAATTCAGATTTCCCAATGCCCAAGCATAGGAGAAAACCCCTGAATTTCATATTCCAAACTAACAATCCACTCTTCCCTGTATTCAGGGCATTAATTCCTTTCCTTTTCACATCTAGACTCATGAGGCCTTCTTGCTCCTGTACAATTTCTGAAGTCATCCTCTCTGCCAATGTTCCGGATTGTGCAATTGTTTTCTCAGCCATTACAAATGACACCTTCATCACTAGCCTCCCTGAAGCTCCCTTCTTCATTCTATCCAATCTCCCTTGGCCACTGCTCTAATAACCATGTCATTCCCATTCCAATCCTTTAGTGCTTCTTCACCTGTTTGCTTCGAGTTCTAGCTCCTCAGTCTGCAGCGCTCCTCAGGTCACACTCATCCCTGTTCCTAGCACTTCACTTCCTTTTAAGCGTTGCCATTTCCTCTCTCCTGCTCCTCCGCAACTTGGACCAAAGCAGCATGCAGTGAAAGATAACATCTCCATTCCAAGGAGCCAAGCATCTCCAACTCCTCCAAATGCCGCCTCAACACCCATTACACTATGGCCTTATTTTCCTTCCTCTACTTCCATTCCTGGTCTGTTCTCCCAAGCTACTAAAAATATTAAGATGTGTCACTTGCTATTGAGACTCACTTCCTTTGTCTATCTTCATGCAATACTATGTCTGCCTAATCAAGATCGGAATCTGCTCAAGGTAAGGACCATGTCTGAGCATAAGGATGTGATCCCCATGCTTGGAGACAGATCAATGAGAGTAGGACAAGTACACCTAGCAGTACAGCTACAGTTATACAGGACTTAGAGGCACAACAGCTGTGCAAAGCATGCATCTTCCTGGCTTGGCTGTGTATGATACTAGGGATGCTGAATGTGTAACTGCTGGATTTTTTTTTTAAAGCAGTTCCTGCCCTCCCCTCCCCTCTCCCCACACCTTTGATACAGAGGCAGCAGCATGGGGAGAGACAACTCTGTGGAAGCTGGTACTCATGGGGAGCCAGTTTTAAGCTAGATCCCTTGCCTACCCGCACCCACCACCCCTCTGTGGGAGGCGGCTCAACAGGAACCGGCTTAAAAGCCAGCTCCCCCATAGGCACCAGTTCCTGCCTCCCCCACTTGCAAGGGCAATGGGAGTGAGTAGGTACATGTCACAGTTATGATTAACTGATGAGCCCAGGCCTATCAGCTAATTGTGTAAATGGCTATGCGCTAACATCTTTAATTTACACTCACACTGTTACACAAACAGGAGAATCATACCTCTAGTTTGTAGTGCTGGCATAGCCTTAATATAACATGCTATGCAAAGCTCTGGATCTATATGAAACTTTTGCCATTAATATTTTACTCTGTCAATAGTTAAAAAGATACTAAAAACAAATTTACAATTAACTCTGAAATACACATGCCTGGTTATAATTACATATGCAAATAAGAGCAGATTTCCTTGTCTGGTGACCTGTCAATCTGAACAATGAGTAGGATTTATGTACGCCCATTTCTCTAGCTTATTTCAAAAGGAGACAAAAGCACATCTTGTCTTTTCATTGAGAATGTACCTTTAAATCAGTCTTTGCATGACTTAAGTATTGAGTGCTTCTACGCGAACTGCTACAATTCCAAAGTACAAAAATAATCTTTAACCTCCAGCAAAAAGCTGTGCTCTAATCATACAAATGGGAAGGAACAAAGAATCAGTCCAAAGCTTTACTTACTCTTTCATAACATAGTTACCTAGTGTTTGCCTGAAAATATGTAATCGTTTTCGTTAAAAGTGGATTTTGAAGAAAACTACACAACATTTATCACTTACAGCTGATTAAATACGATTATCTACATTTAAAAGTAACTCGTTCTGATTGTGACAAATCATTTTGGTTCAAGATGCAATTGCTAACAGTGTTTCCCAAATAGCGCTCCACGGAACCCCAGGGTCCGGCGAGACCTCGGAATTCCTCCCCGTCTTCTGTTAGAGATCGCAAAAAAAAAGCCATAGCTCTCAACCAATTTTCGTGACTGGGGTTCCTCGAAATTCTAAAGGGGTTTCTTGGCCAAAAAAAGTTGGGAAACACTGTGCTAAAGAAATGCAGTTATCTATTTTATTTATAGCTACAGACTTGTAAGGCAAAGTTAACTGGAATTTCTGATATTATTGTCTGATTAAGAATTTTAAAGGTGACTGCAAAAATAGAAGCAGTCTCCTCAATGATTGCTTTAAAGGCAATTTGTGGACAGATATGACAATGGATGCAAAAAATCTGAATAGAAAGTTTAAAAAGCCAGCGAATCCTTTTATTGCTTCAGACAGGCTCCCAATAAATCAAAAGGTAAACAAGTGGAGACCCACTATGAGATATGTGGAATCCAACCTGATAATCAAGTTAGGATAGACTGCTTTGGTTCTATATATAGTTTAAAGTTTAGCTAGTAGCTTAGCCTCTCCTCACTCAACCATTAAAAAACAAACAAGAGGTGAACATAGTTCTTGTCACTTAAAAAAAAAAGACACACACATGAACCTTCCTAATGGGGAAGTCACTTACCTGGGAATACCCATAGGTTGGACCCAGGCAGGGAGTGGAGGAAGCGGCTCTGGCGAGGGAATAGCAGCACAGGGAAGCACTTCTCTGGAGGCTTTTCTCCTGCCACACCCATATCAACAGGCGGTGCCTGAGAGTGGTGTGAGGGGAGAGGGGGGCCACAGAGCCACAGGTGCCTCCAGGAGAGAGGTAAGCACCCCTTCATACACCTTCTCACACCCCACCCCAGTACCCAAGCATGGTCCAAAAAAATTCTTTAGTGTGGCATACACATTTCCCAGGTTTGCTGGCTTAGAGGTTCAAGTGTATTGGAATTGGACAACGTACACGGAAGCATCAAAAAAAGTTTAGAGGTATGGGACAGCTTCCATAGGAGGAGAGCTCCACGCTGCTCAGCTTCAAAGAGAGAAGACTAAGGAGGAGGAAAATGATAGGGGTCTATAAACTCACGAACAGGGAAGTGTTACGTATTCCTTCACAGAACACAAGAACCTAATCACCCAATGCAATAGGCAGAACATTTTACACAAAGGGAAGTATTTCTTCACACAATGCACAGTCAACCTATGGAACTGCTTTAAAACAACTTAAAAAAATAACTAGTCCCGTGGCACCTTTGAGATTAACAAAATATACATATAGTATGAGCTTTCACGGGCAAAACCCACTTCAAATTAGATCATCTTGAGAGACTATGGAACTTACTGAAAGGGGATGTTGTGAAGCCCAAAACTATTACTGTTCAAGTTAGATGGATCATTGGTTTGACTCAGCATGGCCACTTTTATGTTCTTCCAAATCATTCACTGGGAACATAGATGCCAACTTATTTTTTCCTGGGGATGCTTTACACTAGGCTCCTTCCCCTCCCCAATGCCTGGCCCTCTTTCTGCCTCTAGCCCTCACCCCGACCCTCACCTGAGGCCTTGCCCTCATCTCACCTGTTCCTAAGTTCCCTGCCCACTACCCTCTCGGAGCCACCAAACAGCTATAATTGGTGGGTGCTGAGCACTCCTTTTTTGTTGGTGTTCTAGCCGCGAAGGAACCCCAAACTTGGCACCTATGGTTGGGAAAATAACAGTGATGCCGTGTCTCCAGTTATGTTGACGTTAGCTTCCCATTTTAAGGAAAATTTCCATGCTAAATTTCTGCAGAACAAGCCCACTGGATACCAACTGGCCCTACAAATACACAGAAGCCCATAAGGCAAAACAATCAAAATGCTGGTCACTGGGGAGAAACAATCCCATGAAAAACTGAATATTGAAATATTTTCCCTAGCAAACAAAGATTCCACCCTGTATTAACTATATTAATGTAAGACACATTACAAAATGTAACATTTATCTGTACATTCACATAATTTTCTTGTTGTAGAGGTTTCTTGCATTTAAGCACAAAAGTTCAAAATTTTCTAGCAAGAAGCAGCTGAGTAATCAGATTAGAACTGCCCTATAGCAGTGTTTCTTAAACTGTGTTCTGTGGCACACTAGTGTGCTGCGAGGCAGTTGGAGTTGTCCTGTGGAGCTCAAAATGGCCACCCTTAAAAGGGACAGGTGACTTTTTGGGGGTGTCAACTTTTCCCCACCCCTTTTTTCTTTTGCTCAACAAAAAAATCCTTGGTGTTCCTCAGTCTTAAAAAGTTTAAGAAACACCGCCCTCTAGCCATCCAGATCAATGGATGTACAGTATTACTAGCATACCAAAATACATAAACTGGAGAAACACTTATTAACTTAATATACGTATGACCATAAGAATGACTAAAAAATTTTAAAAAATAAAAGCCACCCTTCGTTACAGATTTGCTCCAGGTACTCATGAAGTCAGTTTCCTGAGAAAAATAAGCTTACCACTTTTCAACCCTGTTAAAAGAAGCTGAGCAGGATTTAAATATGGCTCATACATCAGAATAGTTAGCTACACGTTAATGTTGTAATCTTTATTGAACGTAGTATATGAAAGCTCAAGGAATCCAGCTTGACTCAAATCCTGGTGGGAACTAGTTAGAAAAAGGCTTTAAAAAAAGCCTCACACTTGTAAAAAGAACACATCTGATTTTCAAATTAAATACAACAAATAAGGAAACTACTATTTTTACATGCATTTTCAGACCATAGCACAACTGTGCACTTTCTATGGAAAAATTACTGACTTCATATATTCTGTTTGAGTTACTGATTCAGCAATTTGTACCTACAGATGTCTCTTGGCCTAGGGATGTTAGCAAGTAATGAAGTGGAGTATTGACTAGTCGCTTCCCCATCTCCTTTCTGCCTCCATGAGAGGCAGAGAGTGGGGAGGACACGAGCTGGTGCTGGGGGATGCTGGCTTAACACAGAGGCTGCTCTGGCAGGGCTGGCCGCTGTGAACAGGGGCCGCTGGACTCGGCTCACTGGTTCGGGATGCTGTACATCTGCATTTTAAATATAGTAAGAGCCCAGTGGTTCTTACAACATTCAAAATGCAGAGCAGCAGCACAAAAGGTTCCTGGAGCCAGCACAAGCCGGGACTACTCACTTCCTGTTCGAGCCAGCTCCTGGAGCTACCTCCGCTGTGGCTCTGCAGAGCGGCCCTTATCAACAAATTTTATCAACTATATGATTTGCCAGAATAAAGATATTAAATTGCAGTTATCTGGCTACAGTCGTACTTTGTTTTGTGAAGATTTTACACACAGAACAGTCATCCTATTCTACTCTGTACCCCAAGCCACTCACATCTGAAAGTTTGGTCAGCCTGTAAATAAGGGACATTAAAATGTGTTTAGGTAAATGTGTAAGCATGCATGTCAACTGATAAGCCCAGACTCATCAGTTAACCATGTACACGCTTACATCCCAACCACATACAGCCCTCGGAAGAGTGGAGAGATCAATTTGCCATCAGCACTTGTATTAATTCTTCACCTACTTGAGAAAAAAAAACCACAGTAGGACCATAAGTTATATATTTAAACTACACCAGCAAAATCCCTACTGATATCCAAAGCTAACAATTTAAACTTCCCAACTAAATCAAACTTACCAATTCTCCAAGTTTATCCAAGTTGTCCAGGAAATATTTTACAGACTCTCCCTAAAAAACAAAATTAACTGATTAGTCTCTCACACAGATGACAGACTTGGTCACAGAATTTTTCATCCTGAAGTCCAGTTTACTTACTTGCATACCAAGTGTGTTTGGATTAAGTATTTGTCATCTATATGTTCTGTACGCAATTGAATTTTACAGAGGTTGGCACTCAGATTAATATTCAATCATGTAAACAAGCATGTCCAGTTTATTGGAATAGTTAAAACTACTTGAAAGTTTAGGATCCCCTCATTTTTATCAATGCTGTGCATTTGGGCAATCACTATACAAACCACAGATTCATAACTTCAGCATAAAGTAATCACATTTAATATTTTTTGCTATTCCTGAGAAAACTGTATATAGACAGACACATACAGGTCAACTGCAATAAGTTTATTTAAGCTGTACAACAACTCTTCTAGATGCTGACCATAGCAAGACGACAGAGAACCATAACGAGCAGAGGAATCTAAATCATTTTAATACATCTTCGTGCCAAAGACTACCCTGGATAAGCACACCTTGTTTAGAAAGTTATGAATAGTGCTCCAAGTTGCAATTGTGCATAATATTTCTTCTATTGAAGAGACTCTCTCAAATTCAAGACAATACCATGCTTTTCATGTGACAATTGACATTTTGAACACCATCATATGCAAACAAATTTATAGAATTATTCAGTCATAACAAGAAGGCAAAGTTGTAAGTTACACTTTACCAGTTCTTAAATACAAAACAATCGAAATATTGCTCATTTGGCCATCAATTCAAATAGAGAGCAGTCTATACTCCTTTGCTGGTGAAGGTAAGAGTAGGAAGTTAAGATTTTGCAGTACACAATTCATCTGTGCAACAAGAAACTTTAAATTACACAATATTCAAGAATAGGAGGGACTACTTAGAGTCATAACAGAACTACAAATAAGGGAGCAGAGAAACCTCTGGTAAGGTCCCTCACTAAAGAATGAATATTTAAAAAATGACCAAGGAGGGCACCACTTTCTAGAGGAGACAGCATTAAGATGTAAAGTCTGAATGGGCATTAGGAGATTTAACAAACCAAGACTACAGAAAATTCCATCTAGTTCTGACAGTCTCAGAAGTTAATGTCCTTGCTAGCTTTTTCACTAGTAGGTGCAGTTCACCTAGTGCAAACATACACTGCGCTCAGGTTTTAAAATTGCCGTTTTAATGCAGACCTTTAAACAAACAAGGCCGGGACTTCAGTGAGAGTCATTCTATTACTTGATGTACTTGAAGTGACAAACACGGAGCCAAGTATTTAAAGAACCACTATCATATTACATTTTATCTGGTTTATCACCACCTGCTTTTCATAAACTAACAATCTACAGTACTGGAAAACAATACCAGATTTCAAAGTTCACTGGTGGTTATTCAGTATGACTGCTCAGGTATAATTCGTCCACTTAAAGCCATCTACTGCAGAAGCTCACAGTGCTTCATAAAAGTTACAGATGCCTCTACCTCAGCGAGATGAGGCTGTAAGTACGCACTCCTATTAGATGAGGAACGAGATACAGCAAAGCGACTTGCAGCAGAGGCAGGAAATGCCAGGTCTTCTGACTCCATCTTTACTTAGCCCAAAGGTCACCTTTTCTATCTGAAAAATCTATGACACTTTTTAAAGCATGTTTAAAATTCCTAAATCCTTATTTAGGCTACAACACTGTGGTTCAAATTTTTCAGCTCTGACCCACCCCATTCAATGTAAACCTTTCCATGGACCTTCAGCCAACCACTATCGATGACAACATTTTCAGGGGTCTGGCCAGGAAGTTGGGTGCAGGCAGGCCGGCTGACCGACCGCGGGGTGTGTGTGGGGTGGGGGGGTGGAGCTGGGGAAGAGAGGATGACACCAAAGGAGGCAATTGCTGGGGCCCAGACTTCCTTTGAACTAGGGATGTGAAAGTGTAACCATTAACTGTGTACATGGATGAGCCCGCCGCCCCCTCCTTCCCCACAGAGGCGGGGCGGGGGGGAGGGAGGGGAGAAGAAGAGACACAAGGAGGAGAGAAGAGAGCAGACAGGAGCGGGTACATAGAGATGCCAGCTTTCAAGCTGGTTGCCTGTGCATAACCAGCTCCCACCCGCCTCCCACCCTGTGTTACTGCCTCTATGGAAGGCAGCAAGGGGTAGGGTGGGCGTGAGCGTGAGTGTAGGAATCCATTAGAATTAACCAATAAGCCTGGGCTTATGGGTTAATCATGTGAACGAGTACACACTAACATCCCTACTCTACACAGCTTTGAGGTCTGGGGGAGAGAATTCAGCACCATGGTCCTGACTGCACTCAGCTGTGCTTCTTGCAGGGGTTCAGAGCCCCCCCCCCCCCCACACACACACT